TTAGTTGCAACGGTCAACATTTCGCACTTGCCAATGCACGTCTTTGACCGTAATTATATCTTAATCTCTATTAGTAAAACATTATTTAAAATTAGATTTTGAAATTTTGTAATGAGATGAATTGAACAATATTTTAAAAAAAATATAATTTTCATAAAATAATAATATAAAATGTAGTCAAAATAGAACATGTGAATAGTGTAAAATTCTGCAATTAAAAAGAGATGGAGGATAGTACTCCGTATTAATTACCAGATTGGTGCAGTGGCGACTTGGACAATAGTGTTGATCGATAAATATAGGATTCCTCACATCTTTCATAAAAATGTAGGCGAACAATATGTCTGAAACCAAACTTGCATTGGATGGGGCCCAAGTCTTGATCCGGGCGCCATTATCTGTGCCTACAAAGGTGCAGTTGGTGACGTGGACGTCGGAGACAACATCTCCGACATTCTTTCCGATGCTGCCGATGCTAATGCCATGCCCGGGACCACATGTGACTTGAGACACTCTGATGTTCTTGCTGCCGGCGACCATGGCAATGCAATCGTCTCCGGTCTGGATGATGCTCCGGGAGATGCGGATGCCAGTGGAAGATCCGATCTTGATTCCATCTGTGTTGGGGCTGTTTGATGGGGCAGTTAGCCTTACCTGAGAGATCTTTATTTTGTGGGAAGCAAAAATGTGGATGTGGGTGTTCTTGCTGTTTATGGATCTCAAATGAGTTATTCTTGACTTGTTTACAAAGTTAAACCTCAATGTCTAACCCCACAACAAAGAGAAAAGAAGAAATTGTTGTTAGTCTTCCATGAACAAAATGTATTGAACACTAACATATTCACTATTGATCCACTTGGATAGAGACGTAGAATACATTTATGTAATTTTTGTTAATTCAATTCAATCTAGATTTAGTTAAAAAAAAATGAAGGGAATATATGAAAATACAAGTGTATATATAAAGTAGGTGTTTGGATAATTTCAGGTTAACCTAGGGAATGTAGTAATAATTTGTTTCCGTTAAATTGTTTTCTAGGTGAGCAATTAAAATTTACTTATAAAGAAAAGTTGACCTTGAATAACCTTTACGTATGGACTGGGTATTGGGGACATGGGGAGTGTTAAGTTAGTAATGAAAGTGTTAGTAAGTATTGATAATAATACTTGTTTGGGAGAAAAATTAAGAGGTGTTAAGAAGTGTTAGTAAATTAAGGTTAGGAAGTGTTAATATAACCTTCCCAACACCTCAATTGTCCACTTTTTAACACCCTGATTTGGAGTGTTTGGAGGTGTTTGGACAATTATTACCCTTCTCATTTACCCTAAAAACATAAAAATTTTCGATATCTCGCTTCGACTTTGCCGCAGGTATGATGGTATGCCTTTTTCATCTCTTTTCCTTACTCGTTTATTCTGCCTCAAGGTAAAATTATTAATACTTCCATTTTTAACACTTCATTCATTTGACTCTAGCTCCCAAACAAGATAAAGTTATGTCTAACACTTACACTTCCCTTCTCTTGCAGCCTTTACTAAGACTTCCACTACTAACACTTCCAAACACTCATCCAAACACGCCCTTAGAGTTTTTTCGATTTTGAGGTTGTACAAACCGGGGCGGCCTATTAGCATACTCTTTAGAATAAATTACACTTTTGGTCCTACGAGTTTTAGGTCAATTCCACATTTAGTCCACATCTTTCACTTTGTCCACTTTTGGTACATGACTATTGTGTTTTCACCCATATATGGTCCTTCCGGCATTGTTTCCGATGGTTAAAATCGCCGAAAAAGGACCACAAACGGTTAAAAAAACATTAGTCAAGTACCAAAAGTGGATAAAGTGAAAGACGTGGACTAAAGGTGGAATTGGCACAAAACTCGTAGGACCAAAAGTGGATTTAATTCTACTCTTTAGGTTATAAGTAATAGGGCCACACTAATTATGGAGACCCCATTTAAAAAACAAAACAATGGTATTGCATACCTTTCCAAATGTCAATTTGAAATTGAAATAAGGTTTGAAAATGAAAAGGTTATTATTTGAAAACAAACATTCAGATGTAATGAACTTTGTAAATTCTCAATGATATACTCATATACTTCTAATATGTAGTTTTATGTTTACTAATAATAACATTTAGAGCAAGACCCCATACATATATTAGACGGTCTTATCGGTAAAACTGGATTATTGATGGTTTTGGGAGGTTTTAAGAGGTTATATGAGTTAAAAATTGATTCTTTAATTTCACCCCAAGTATTTGTCACAAAATTGAAAACAAACTAGGTAAATAAAAAAGAACCTAAGTTCACTACATAAACTAAATGGACCATAAGAAGTAAGTTATATTAGGGTTATTTATTGAGAAGATGATCTCATCTTAATAAAGTCAGTTAGTTGAGTGATGAGAAATTTGGAACAATGACCAAGGTTTGAAACCCACAGCTGCCATGTGTGCTGGGCTGGACCTCTGATGCACACGGGTATAAGGCCTACCAGTATTGGACCGATTGAGTCGCCGTAACTTACTCATTCACTATCATGTCGGGTCGGAGTGTGGGGGCTCCTAGGATGGGAGATTTCACCTTTTGGAACAATAAAGTCGACCTCATTTCTGCACTACAAATGGACCCCATTCTTTTGACCATTTACTTAATCTATGTGAAAGGTAGGATAGTATTGTATGTTTTGTAGCTTACCAACTACAGTAACATATATGGAGGATCCACATTGGGTTAAATAAGAAGAATTTGATGCCGAACCTCTCATTGTTTGGACGATATTAGATTTTAAATCATATTTTCAAAATTGTGTCCACCTCATTTTATTTTAGTATAAATTCATTTGATTTTGCAACTCATTCCTTCGTAGTTTTTTAGACTGTTGAGGTGCGCACATTAAGGATTTTGAAAATATGTGCAAAGTCCAATATTGCTTATAAAATAGGGTGCAAAATCAAACCCCCTTTAAATAAAGAAAAGGAGTTTTTTTCGAGCTTACCGCGGGAAGAGCAGGACAACGAGAGTTGGAGGCACAATCATTTAAGGACCACGCATATTGGCCTTGACCATCCAAATACCCACCGCCCTTCACAACCAATTTACTCACATAGTTAAATGCAATCCAAGTATCTGTGTCGAAATCAGGCCAATCTGTTGGAGCCTTTATAGTTCCTTTGATCAAAAAGGCCATTTGATGAGCCCTACATGGTCCACTAAATGTTACTGATCCCAACTTGTATGCCCCCTTACCCTTTGGAATTAAAACTCTACTCCTTCCGCTGTGGTTACAAGCATCACTCCACGCTTTTACAAAAGCCTAAGCAAAATTGCAAATACCAATCAACTATTAGAATTTCTCTTTGAAATGTCTTTTCTAATCAAAATGTAAAGAAAAAAGTGGGGAAAACTAGCTAATCGTGATTGAAAGAAAATGTTGTTTCTTGATCTAAGCTTTAGTATTTGAGTGAAAGATTAAAATGAATTACCTTTTTATTGTCTGATATTCCATCAGCAACTGCCCCATATTTCAAAACATTGAAGAATTTCTTGGGAGGTGTATGCTCTTTTGCGTTGACTACGACGAATAAAATGGCCAGGATAACATAAAGCACGAATACACCCAGCCTGGAGGACATTTCTTCTCTCATATTCCTTGTCACTATCATAAAACAACTACTGACCTATCTAGATATCTTATCTTATTATAGCCCAAATTTTCTTATATGTATTCGTGCGTGTATATTGCTCGTACACTGAATGTACTTAAATATGTGTGTGATACTTATGGTAAGAATAATCCCAGTATGGCATTATACCCCGGAGTAGTTTGTTTCCTTTTTTTATGGTAGTTAGTTTCCTTGTATAACATTATTCATTATTATTATAAACTATTTATTTAGTTTTGCTTTGGTACCACGACAAGCGAAAAACATTTTTGTGGTGGCGCTGCTATATCCCATGCTAACGCAAGTGGGGTGTTTGGTTCACGTAATGTAATGTTCCCTATACTAGCTAGTTGCTCCTTGATTTAATAGGCACTCCACACTACAAAGTATATAGTATTATTTGGTGTTAATCGCACCATTGGTTCGATGATGGTTGACTGAGACACTTGGATTCACATTTCAGATTCAATCCCCAACCAAATCAGTATATGAATTTTTCGCTATGATGACTTTTTATGCACACCTAACTCTAAAATCTAAATCACCTCACTCAAATCAGTAAATCACCTTTTTGGGCACTATTAGAGGTGGAAGTTACGAGTATCTAACATCTCCTTTTAAAACGGAGTAAACACGATAGCACACACATTTTCCTTAGGAGCCTACACCGAATATGAACTGACGTTCTCAATCCAACTCACTCACTGTTCTAACGGGTTCATATAAAACACTACCTCAGTACCTCCATCCCTTTTTAGTTAACCAATAATGACTTTTCCAATCAATTGTGGTAAACTTTAATCAATCGTTATACACTTATACATTATGTACTTTTCGAAATTTATAAATTTAATAGATGGTATATATAACAAAAAAACATTTTCATATTATTTTCATATTAAATATAATTTCGTATATAAATGTATTATCAGTCAAAGTTATGGGATGAAGGGATGGGCTGGGTTGGTTCGGCCCGACCCAATACCCGGCCCAACCAACCGGACCGGGACTGAGGGGCCCGAACCAGGGATATTAGGGGCGGGCTACAGGATGCATTAATGGTGGACTGGCTTGACCGGTCAAGGACCGATCCAGACCCCTTTTTGTTTTTGGATTTTATCTCATTCAATGGCTGCTAGGCAGGTGGTTTGGGGGGGTTGGGGAGTGGGGGTAGGAATAAATTAGAAAAAACAATTAATTTTTTAAAAAAACTTAGACCCGACCCAGCCTGGTACCGGGCCTTCATCCCAAACCCCCAATCCTGCCCCGTCCTGGAGCCCGGCCCCGGTCCATCCTTAGATGGGTGGAGTAATAACTTTGTGACTCATATTATTCCTCTCTCCGCAACACGCATTTCAAGTTTCAACCACACAGTTTTTATTTCTATTATTGTACAAGCAACTGAAAAAGCAGTTAAAAAACGGTGTAAACTAACACCCAATACAATTCATAATGGAAGTAGGGATAGTTTCAGTTTCCTGGATAAAAGAAATGGAAGGTTAAAAAGAAATCATAATACAGATCATAGTCTGATAGACATATGCAGAAATCTTACACTGATTCATACATATCAAACAGAGAAATCACTTTCCTCTTTCATTTTAAACTCCACTTGCTCAAATTCCAACGCAATAGAAAGTGGAGAATCACAGCCTTTGGGAGATGATGGAGGAGAGTTCCATGTTGAAGAAGATTCAAACCATAAGGAGTCCTCTGGAATGGACAGCTCCTCTAGTTCTGGGTACCCGTGGCGATTACAACCAGACATATTGCTCTAAAAGGATAATAACATCAATATAAATAAATGAAAGCAACACTAAATTTAAAAGATCCAGTTGGTTGGTAGATGAACAAAAAAGAACACTCACATCTTCTGGTTTCAAGTCTGATATTTCAATGGAATACAAGGGATCTGAAACAATAAAAAAACAGAAGTATTTTATGATTTCTCCTAAAGTCACCTTTTTATAAGGAAATGGACCTTTGATCTCCAAATGGAGATCAATTATAAACATAAATAATGCTTTCACATGAAAATTGAGAAGCATTGGCTGCTGAATAGTTGCAGATGTCTGCCATTTTGAGTAGTCAGAACATTTAACTTTTTTTTCTTCACTCACTACTTGATCATTTGGATATCAAGGAAAGGATCCCTATAAAAGGCTTAAACCAAACTTTTTTAATTTCATTTTCATTTACCCGAGTGCCACATAGGCTCCCACCTACGGTGGGGTAAGGGGGTCGGATGTAGGCAGTCTTACCCCTGTAATAAAGCACAGAGAGACTGTTTCCGGATAAACCATAATGAAAATCGTGTCCAAAAATTGCATGGACTTACTACTATTTCATAACAAAGAAGCGCAGACAGTTTAGTGAGCCATATTAAGAAGTGTGTAGTTCAGATATCAGTGGCAGTGAGAAAACTTTCTCAGCCACAAGTTTAATTATTCCTAAAAAGGTAAGAGAAAGATCATTTGCCACCAACAAGAAAAACAGGAAAGAGCGTATTACTCATGCATTTATATTGCCATTTACCTTCCCAAATACACAAGCACTTCTAAAGAACGGAAACAAATCTCATGACAGAAATCTGTCACTTACTGTCTCAACCACTGGTGCCCACAAGTCCACAACATACAACTACTGTAAATCATTAATCCTACTTATATTTTAAAATTAATTGTTTGGCTTAACTAAATGTATCCAATAAAGACACTAGTTATAAGTCACTCATAATTTACCTTATGAGAAAAATTTACACTTTTATGTGAATTTTTTCGACAAATCAGAAAAAAACTCTAACTGACTAGAGAGAACCCTTTCTCTGCGAAAAGGGTGTTTTAAACCGAATTACATTTTATAATGGACAGAGAGAGTAGTAACTCATGTTGAAAATGTTCTCCCAGGCATGATAACACAATGAGGTCAGGCAAGCATGGTATATACGGAGTATATGTTTATAAGAATGCAATGTTTGGCCAACGGCTATCACACCTTTCATCACTATCCACCAAAATCCAATCTTTAAGGGGAACGTATATCATCCAAGATTTTCAAATAAAAAGCAAAAGTTTCTAGCTATTATGAAGAAATTTACACCACCACTATGAAATTTGATTTGAAATGGTTTAAGGCTAATAGAAAAATCAAATCACATACGATAATTTAAAAGAGAAAAGTAACTCAAATGCAGATACAATTTATAAAAGAAACTTGAAAAATGTTTTAACAGTGTTTTAGAGATCATGGAAATATGAAATAAGGAACAGATTGAGTAGAATGTGGAAATTACCTCGTTCAGGAAAACCCAAGTCCAGGAGATCAAGTGTCTTTGCAGCCTGTTGTGCCTTAAGACACTTCTTGTGGTCATGTAAAAATGCCTCTTCCGCAATGTTAACTTCATCATCCTTAAATAGAAGTTTTTTCTTATGTGAGAAGCTTTTCTTCTGTGATGGTTTTGGTTGGGCAGATGACTTGTTTGTAATGTCATGAAGGGCACCACGGCCTTTTAGCCCAGTACCACCTTTCTTGACCACTGATTGTTTAGAACTCACTGATATGTCACCAGTCACAGCTTCAATACAAAATTATAAGTTCAAATTAAGATGGACACTCAATGGGCATCTTATAAGAAAGGTTCAATGTACAACATAAAGATGGAATGAGCAAACTATACTTTTCGAATACACATCCAGGTTCTCATCTTGAAATATCAGTGGCCTCTGAGTGACATTCTTGGCCATAATTCTCCCTTTATTGAGGATAATTCGTAAATACAACTATCCCTGCATCATTATGATCAAAATATCAACAATTCTCAAATTATGACAAGCAGAGATTGAATTTGCTTGTACTTGTATGCATGTTTCTGGATGGAAAATTAAAACAATATACCCAAAAAAAGAGGTTACAAAAGGACATATCACACATACCACGAGATAAAGGTTTCTGTCTAGGTTTTATGTGGATCTTGAAACCCTTAAACCTGATTCCGAATACAGAGATAAACCTAGAAGGTAAAAGATGAGGGAAAGCATAAATTAGTCACAAACATTTGTTTGCATAACCAAGCGAGAGACAAAAACGCGCAGAAAAGAGTGTTACCTGAAGGAATTCACAGTGATGGTGAACTTCTGTCGAAGCAAAAGGGAGCGATGGACGAGTGAGCGGGTAAGAGCATCTGGCAAAGTGGATTGTACCCCTTAATAAATGGACACATCACTATGGACGACCATCAAGATGACATGGACAAATACCTGTTTAAAATTGAAGTCCCATCTCCAACGCAGTTTTGTGTAAATATCTCTAGTGCATTCCATAAATTATTATTTTTTTATTTACTGTGTATATAAATCGGTCGTAGGTCTTAATTCTTCTACCTTTCTTCTTCAAAGCCAATTAACCAAGTAGCAGTTGATGTTTTAGATCTTATATATAGGGCACTAGGGTGTGGAAAACTGAATTCATCCGAAACTCGAACAAAGACATGAAAATAGGGCTTTATCGCCGGCGGGATAGTCATGAACCGACAGCTGCTTATATATATGCCTTGCGGTGCAATAGGCTTAGGTTAAATCTCCGTTTCATCTAAACCATCCAATTAATTTTACAAGATCAAAAGAACAAGAATAGAAAAATACTTCAAAGACCTTTGACGAGTTTTACGCAGATGCAAAGTAAGAGAAACGTTTTCGCTTGCTGAAATTAATTGAAGCTTGCTGAGTCAGATCGTCTCATAGCCTTGCTGAAAGTCCATAGAGATGTAGACGGTGTGGTTTTTATTCGGTTCCAGCTCAGCAGCACACGGGATATGGATGGTTCCGTTGGAGACTGTTTCTACGTTTGTTACTTACGTGGCTGTGCATTTGAAAGAATAGAAAGGCCCATTAAAGATGCTCTAAGCCGTTCTGAATTTCAAATCTGCTCGTGGATAAGACTAAAAAATGAGCGGGTTAGAGCATCTCCAGTGGGCATGTGCATTGTTAAAAATGCATTGCCAGGTTTACAAAATGAACGGTCATGTAAAAAAATGGTCTCCAGTGCAGATGTCTTTAGGATGTGAGGTGCTGAGTTGGATTAAAAAAAAACCCACACTGTGAAGTTGGACGTGCGATTTCAGAAAGCCCATTAGACATGCTGACTAGGCAAAATTAATTGCGCTGCTTCAACTTTTAGGGATAATTTACGGAATTTTTTCGGCGGCAAGTGTAAAATAATTGCCGCGGAACTGGCCGAACCGCTACAAATTAAATTGCGATCTTCCCAAACTCTTTTCTTCTTGCGTTAAATAAGAAGTCTTGCGTCAAAGAGAAAGAGAAGAGGCTCGACAACTACAGGTAATTTACTTCATGATGATTTGAGTTGATAATTTACATGGATTCCTCGTTTGATCTATGTAGTCCAAAATTTCCCAGTCTTCAATCAATTACATCGTTTGTGTTTTGGGAAATTTTCCCTAGCCTAATATGTTAATCACTTTTATCATCACACTCAAACAATTTTCGTGTTTTACCATGTTAGGAACACAATGGCATGTCAATTTTGATATACTTTGGTTGAAAAAAAAAAACAGCATATATATCCATAAGCTTGAACCCATGTGAATATCAATTAGTTCTACATGCGTAGTTTGAACTTTTACCCTATTCTCTAATCATTTTATGCACTTTAGAAAATTTCAGAAATAAAAAAAAAGTTAGTTATTTTTAATCACTAAATATGTTATTATGTTGAAATTATCTTCCTGGAAATCAAGTAATTGCATTTGCATCAATTCTTGACTTATTGAAAGTTGGGAAGGAAAAGTTTGATCATAATTGTGCATTTGTGGTGACATTGTTGAGATACTTATATATTTTTTACATTATACTAGTGGGATGATATGGTCACCTACCTTTTAAGGTGCTATTTCATTGAATTTAAATCTGTATAATTCCATTAGTTTTGTATGCAGATAACTCTAGATCGCATCCGCTTTCTTCTATGAATATCTCATTGAATTTCTATTCTTATATTTCCATTATTTTTGTATACAGATGGACTCTACATCGCATCCATTTTCTACCACAGCTCAGCCGGGAAATGATACTGGAGTGGTTGAACTCAATCCTCTTTATGGCAATGCTCTGCATTTACACCTAACCTCAATGTCTCAACCTAACCAGTTTAATCCATCAAGCCCAGGTTATCATCCTAATTTCATGATGAATCCTCCATTTCCTCCTCATGTTCATTCACCCTATGGATATGGATTCAATTTTCAAGATCTTTCTCGCTCATCCAATGCCAATGCATGCAATCAAGGCTCCCAAGCATACCAGGAAAACCTCAGTCTTCCGCTTCTTGAAGAAGTGTCAAAGTATCATCTTTATTTGGCTTCCTCAAATATTGTTTCTCAAAAACACCTATCACAGCATCACAAAAATGTTTAAGGCTTTCGATTGCAGTGCTTTCCCCAATTTGGATATATTCATCCAAGAGATCAGCTACACATCCATAAGCAAGCATCCGCACCGCTGCTATCATTTTATGTAAAGGACTTAATCCTTCTTTTCCAGTGGCGTCACATTTTGATGTGAAGTAACTATCATATTTTGTAATTTCTTCCAAAATACGCATAAATAGATTCACATCCATTCGAAATCGACGTCGAAAATGATCTGCAGTATACTTAGAGTGCTCACCTTTGAAATAATCATTAATGATAAAACTATGACGTTCCTTTCTATCTCTATGAATATAGCGCCTGCGACTTGTTGAACCCCCATGAGCACGCTTTTTGCATAGCATTGCTGAGACTATCATAGGAACATGAATAGCAGTGGTATGAACTAAAGCACCAGAAATGTTCAATCTACTATCCTCTTCAGATGCTTCATCAAGTAATTTTTTCATCAATGGAAGGGTATCATTTTCAGAAGATGAGCTATCATAGTCACATTCTGATTGTGATGAAGAAGACATTATTGTTATATTACCTGAATAGTATAAGAAAGAAATTTAGAATTAGTATATATAGTTGGTCAATATTAAGTATATGACTGCCGATTCATTACCTTAAGATTCATTTGTCTGAAACTCTGAATATTAAGTATCTACCTTATTGCACATATCTTAGTGCATACTAAACAAGGTTTTTTGTAGAAGGTTATGGCTGATTTGGGTTTAAATGGAAGTTAAGAAAAAATTGGATTTATAAAGAAGAGGATACCATTCATTATCATCTACTTCTTTAGTCACTCAATGTTCTTTAACATACATTTTTTATAAATGATTTCCTTCTAACTACTAAACTGTCATATAGTGTAGAAAGAGTTCAATGAAAAGGATTACTCTATCTACTTTTCAGGATTCCTAGGAAATAACATGTAATATATAAATATTCACTTTGACAATATATCAAACACTTAAAGTGCAGAACCACAATTTCTGTGTTTGAAAAACCATAGCAGCCATTTAATCACTCTGTTGACAACAAAAAAGAATCATCAATAGCATGATTCACTAACATATATACCTATAACAACACAGGTAGTATAAAAACTCTTTATCCATTATAATACTTTAATATGTACTACGTATTAACCTGGAATCTTTCTACCTATTGGACTGATTGTATACATTATAATAGTGTTTACACAACAATACTTCTAGCAGCAGAATTTTTAGCCGCTGGAATTACAGATATATTCACTTGGACATTTGTAATGAAGTTGGAATGTAATCATAGATATATTATAAATAGTTGTTTACCGGATTGGAGAAGAAGGCTACCGAACTGGAGAAGAATGGAAGGAGTATTTTTTAAGGAGCTGCAGGGATGAAGTTACGTGAGTAATAGAAAAATAGGTCAATTAAAAACACGGAGTATATTTTAAATAAGGGATGAAACGTGAAAACAAACAGTCCCATTGGAGAAAGAAATTTTACTTTGAGCGTCTATTTGTCCATGTCAGCCCAACATTCCTCCGCACATCGTTCACATAAATGATGTGTCCAATTTTTGTGTTATAGAATCCACATGACGACTGGAGATGCTCTAATCACAATTAAAGAATTTAATTTTTTCGTGACGAAATTGACACCAATAATTCTTACTTTTACCTATTTTAGAAAAATAATTTGTTCACAATAATAATCCCAACTAGTTAGTAGTGTTACAAAAATAAATTGATTGCTTATGGTGTTACCTTTTCGGTTATTTTTATTTCAGATATATTGAAGCCAACAATATACTCCCTCCGTCCCGCTAGGAAGTTCTCGGGTTGACTTACACACATATTAAGAAAATAAACTTATCAGGGGTAAATTTAACTATTTTTACACTGTTTTGACATTGTTTGGCATTGTTTGACACTGTTTTGCACTGTTTTCCACTGTTTTGATGTAGATAACTCTCCATTTAAGGAAAAAGGAACTTCTTTTTGGGACTGCTAAAAAGGAAAGTGAGAACTTCTTAGCAGGATGGAGGGAGTATATAATCATTGACAATATTATATTTGAGTTTAATCTTGTTCCTAGTTTCCTACTAAAAATTTAATGTGATAGTCAAGATTTTTTAGAAAAACATAATACAAATATTTATTTGAACACTACTACATAGTACATACTCTTCGGGTTCTCTATTCTTTTTTATTCCTTATCCATATTTTATTTATATGCATTCTTTAAAATGAGTGTTTTTAAATCACAACTTAAGAGTTTAATTTTATTTTTTTACTCTAGGGGGTCTCGGGGAGGGGGCCTAGGGTTAGGCTTGTCAATGGGTCGGGTCCGGGCCGGAACGTAGTGTTCCAGACCCGGACCCGCTAAGTAAATAAAGGACCTAGACCTGACCCGTTTACCCAGCGGGTCTGGAAATTTGGACCTGTACCCGGACCCAACGGGTCTCGGAACTGGGTCAAGTAGACCCGCCAAGTATCATATGCACAACATTATAAAATTTGTGAAAATAACAAGACATGTATAAGAAATGTAAATCAAAGTGCACAAATTTAAAAACAAAATATATCTTCACTTTTCAAAAAAATCAAGGTTTCTAATAGAAAATTAGTACTTTTATCCAATAAAGTATCGGTTCTTGTAGATGCGTACAATTCCGCACTTTGTGTCTCTTTCTTTCCCACAGAAAACTCGTATATTAGACTAGAAATTAGGTCATTAAAAAGTCTTTTGGACTACTAAGAGTATAAAAGCATATTATATACTATTATATTATCACTTATACAGTAGGTAGGTATTAGTTTGTACTACATATCTTTTTATTCAAAGAATTACACCAATAAACTTTTGTATTAGTATGTTTAGGGAAAAGGTGCAAATAGGCCCATGTACTAACCAAAAAAGGTCAAATAAGCCCTTATTTAGGAAGTTTTGTCCAGCCGTCGTCATTTGGGCTGGTTCCCGGTGGAATTTTTTGATGAAATTTTTTAAGCATCTTTTTCATCAAGTCTAGTTTGCTCATACCAAATTTCAGCTAAAACTTCAATCGGGAAGGCATTCAAATGAATTCTTGAAGATAACTGCGCTTCTAACTGCGCAGTTATTTTCAAGAATTCATTTGAATGCCTTCCCGATTGAAGTTTTAGCTGAAATTTGGTATAAGTAAACTAGACTTGATGAATAAGATGCTAAAAAAATTTCATCAAAAAATTCCACCGGGAACCACTCCAAATGGCGACGTCCGGACAGAGACTCCTAAATAAGGGCTTATTTGACCTTTTTTGGTTAGTACATGGGCCTATTTGCACCTTTTCCCGTATGGTTTATACATATATGTGTGAATGTATATTAGTTTGTATTTTATATTTGAAGTATTATAACTAATCACTTTATGTATTAGTGTGTGTATATATACTAATAAAAAAATTTAAACAGGTTCGGGTCCTTAACGGGTCGGAATCATATGTACCATACTCGACCCGTTATTAAAAATACTAACGGGTTCGGGTCCGGGTCTAGACCCGACCCATTGATAGGCCTACTTAGGGCCACAGGCCTCCCGTAAGAGAGAGTGAGTCGGCGACCAGCTGAGCTGGACCGCTTCCTCACTTAATAATTTTCATCAATTTGTGTAAATAAAGAGTATTGGACTTAAGGTTATCTTTGTAAATAATTAATAAAAAAAGTGATTTTCAGCTTTTTTATTATAAAAAATGAAATGAGTGCTCTCAAATAACAACTTTTACTTAAATTTAACACTTAAAAGCTAAAAGCTGTAAACTGTTATTTATTTTTTCTATTACACATAAAACACATATTTTATCAAACATTACCAATTTTTAATACTTTTCAAAATCATTTTTTCTCAAACACTACCAGCTTGTAATATTAAACGCTTTCTTCACAATCACTTCAAAAAGTCATTTTTTATAGCAGAAGCAATCACAAACATTACATTATTTGTGTCCCCCACCATACCAGATTAGATCATGATTTCGATAATTTTAAAATACACAAAGACCTAATATTCAGACTACTTATACATACTAGATCAGATTATAGCCGAAAATTTGAGTCCAAGTAGAATCGTCCTAAGAAGCTATTCAATTCATAGGAATGTTTCACAATCCTTCCATTAGTTGAACATTGTGTTATTTTTATTATTTGATGTTATTTGCATTAGTGCGGTATATGCGTGTGTTTTGTATTTTCACTTTTGACGTTATTTGAACAAAATGAGCCTGGAAAAGAGAAAAAATTAATAGAAAAACAATAAAAAGATGAAAAGAAATAAAGAAAAAGATTCCATATATAAGTATAGAACCCAGATCGAGTTGTTAGCTGTGAGCATCGGACGGTACGGGATGGTTATTTCAAAAAACATGTCCCGTCCCAAAATACGTTCTTTTAAAAATCAAGAATCGGTACTGTCCCGCATATATATAAAACATGTCCCGTTCCGTACCAATTTTCGGTACAGTTCGGTACGGTTCGGTACAGTTCTCCGGCGTTATTTGGTTTCGTGAAATATAATTAACCCTATTTACGAAGCATTGTTTATATCATTTAGTATTGTTTTTGTTTTAAAGCTAACTTTTAGTTCTGTTAAGTCTTAATAATTGAATTACGCCCAAAGAATATGCAAGATTGCATATTTGTAATATATGGACATACGGTCACTAACATTTATACTCGATAATATATTATATATAATATATTACGGAGTATTATATTATAACACTAGTTTTCGGGACATACGGTCACTAACATTTATACTTGGTAATATATTATATATAATATATTATTATATTACAACACTAGTTTTCAGGATAATTCGGGATGGAACGAGATGGTTCGGTTCAATACGGTTCCGGGACGGTCCGAGATGGTTCTCACTAAGAACCGGTACCGTACCATATAATTAAAAAAGCTCGGTACGGTACGATATTACATTTTTCCGGTTCTTTCGGTTCTGGAACGGTACGGGACGGCCGGACGGTTCTTCGGTACGGAACGGGAATTCCCAGATCCGCGCTCAGCCCTATAAGTTGTGCGAAGAGCAAACGTCCAACCAATGACAAGAGAGGGAAAATTGTTAAATTGACAATCGGAGATGTTATTGTTCTTTAATTCGCTTCAGTAAGCAAAAGATCTAGAAAGAGGGAAATAAGAAAGCGTAAGACGGGTTCGTTCAGATGATCTAGGCTAGAAGTCCTGACACTCCATTTCCACGATGCTACTATCCAGGGCCGTTTTTTAGGGGGTTCAATAGGTTATCCAGAACAGGGCCCCCAAATTTGTGGGGCCCCAAATTTTTAAAATTTTATTGATATTATATTGTAATATTATATACTAATACTAATCACTAAAATATAGTTACCTAGTAAGGAAGAAAAATGTAGATCTTTAAAACTTTAGATTGAGTATATAAGTATTTAGATTGAGGGGGTTTTAAAACTTTTTATATTAACGTGGGGCCCCGTTTTTAGATTTTGAACCGGGGCCTCCAAATTTATTAGACGGCCCTGCTACTATCACTTCTTGGAACACCAGTTGGCTACTTGTATATATATTTATCATTATTTGCAGAATTTTCAACAGAAGTTTAGAAAAAATCCATCTTCTTCCATATATAGATATATAACGAGTAAAGGGTCAGTTTGGTCCTCGAAGTTGCACAAAAAGGGTCAAATAAGTCCTTATATAGAAGATTCTGTCCAGACGTGCCATTTGAGGTGGCTCCCTATATAATTTTTTGATGAAATTTTTTGAGCATCTTATTCATTAAGTCTAGTTTACTCATACCAAATTTCAGCTAACAATTCAATCGGGGAGACATTGAAATGAATTTTTGAAGATAACTGCACTTTTAACGGCACAGTTATCTTCAAGAATTCATTTGAATGTCTTCCCGATTGAATTTGTATTTGAAATTTGGTATGAGTAAACTAGACTTAATGAATAAGATGCTCAAAAAATTTCATCAAAAAATTCCACCGGGAGCCACCTCAAATGGCACGTCCAGACAGAATTTTCTATATAAGGACTTACTTGACCCCTTTTTTGCAACTTCGAGGACCAAACTGACCCTTATCCCGATATATAACTTCAGACCATTCTCTCTACTCAATCTAGAAACATTTAGTGTCCATTTCCCTTCATTTATCATTCCCAAATCATCAATCTATCTTCAGCCGCGACTAACCCCTTCCTCATTCAAGATTAGGAAGAAAGCTTCAAAGATTATCTTTTTTCATAAGTTTGATCTTCATTGGAAGAACTAAACACTTCCGGATATGCGTGAGCGCTATTCGAAACATTTTGAGAAAGGCAATTAATTACTTAATCATGCTATATATCTTTATTTCTGTGTGGTTTGAACTTCAGGGACAAAGCATTCTTTAAGGAGGGTAGAATGTAGGGGTGGGCGAATCGGTTTACGGTTCGGTTTTTATCGGTTTCGGTTTGGTTTCAGTTTATTCGGTTTGAGGAAAATAGTACCAAACTCAAACCAAAAGAATTTCGGT